GTAAATTTGTCAAATGGTTTGGCTGGTAACCCGTAGACAAGCCTTGGTAGACAAGATTTTAGGATGAAAAATCCAAAATAGCCGCCCCATGCCAAAAATTGGTCAGTTCTAAACTTTCATACGTACGTAGAAACATCCCTGGAAATTTTAGATGAATCCCTCAAAGGTTTGGCTGGAAACATGTAGACAAACCTTGACAGACAAGATTTTAGGACGGAAAATCCAAAGTGGGCACTTCAATGTTTACCCAGAATGCCCAAAACTAATCAGTTCTAAACTTTTATATGTAGAAACCTAATTGGAAATTTTAGATGAATCCCTTTGGTTTGGCTGGAAACCTGTAAACAAGCCTTGACAGACCAGGTCTTAGAGACATTTAGGCATTCTAATACTCATCACTTCTTTCTGTCTTCAACTAGAAATACCTTCTAGAATGAAGCTAACAGAAGGCAATGAATTCTCATGATGGCATTTGGGACCCAAGACCATCTAGGAATTTCAAAGGGACAAATCATAAAGATAATACAATATTTTAGATCTAATGTATCATGTAACCATTCTTAGAAGAGATCTTAAGTAAAAGCGAATTCCTGCTCAAGGCAGCCATTTTGATTTTTTTGATTCACAAACCAGAAATAAGCCACACGGAAAGCCAAACATATATGTTACATATCTTATAGACATACTGCTCCCCCCCCCTCCGTCCCCTCCCCCCTCCGTCCCATTTTAATTATTTTCGATTATTTTAACGTATGGAAAAGTATTTTGTAAAGTCATTAAGATCATTAATTTCATGATGATAATGTCACTTACAAATATTTATTGCAGGTTGTGTAGACCGTTGATGCTTGATTTAAAGTAAAAACATTGACTTGCACGTTGGTTGCGTTGCGCCTTTTTTAATAGATCTTATACCTAAGAAGAGAATCGGCTAAAAAAAATTCGTAGAATACGTGACATATTTTACCATACCGTGCGCCTATTCGTTTAGCAATGAAATCATAAACCTTTTCTTGAAAAAATAATTTTTGCAGATTTGTTCATTTTTCTACCAGAAATTGCTTGCTCCCCCCCCCTCCGTCCCATTTTCACGATCACCAGGCGTGAAGTGAGCATTTGGGAAGTTTTGTCGTTAATTAATTAACATTGCATCTGCTGTTGTTACAGTAGTTGTCCATTATTGCTGATTCGAACATGACTGTATTCACGCCTTCTATAAACTGTAAACAAAGTCAATGCTTCAGCTGGCTTATATTCGAGATCAATAACCCAGTTAATACGTGTAATGTGTGACGTCATAACGGTGGGTCTTAGTAATGGCGGACCATGATGAATATTCGAAACAATTTGGTGAGTTTTCATGGTCGAATCGTAATATAGACCTCAGAGCAGGGGTAATATCGTCGATTACACCCCTTGGGGCTCGGCACAAAAGCTTTCAAACCCCTCACTCCCTTCAGTCGTTCGGGGTACAGAAAACGTTTGTGCCTAGCCCTGCGGGGTGTATTCGACGATATAACCCCTGCTCTGAGGTCTATATTTCTTAATTAAAGCAGAATGAGTGGATTTCAAGAATTGTTTATTTTGTGGAGAAAATTATTCATTTTAGCAAGAATTTCACTTTTTGCACATACTTGCACCACAAAATTTTACTTTTTCCCGTGCAGAATTTGGCGCATTATTTTATAATTCATTCAGAATTTGGCTTTTTCATGCAGAATTTCTGGGTAGAATTTGCATTTTTCTCATGTAGAAAACTAGTGTGTGTGTATCACAGCTCGCTGCTTATAGTAGGCAGCGGTTAACCAAACCCGTCTGGCCCAGTTATCTACTCCCGATGTCGTAGATCTGGGCCAGACAAGGTCCAATGCAAAAAATGGGGTATTTACTCCGGAAAAAACACACTGGTTTTTCAATGTATAATACGTGCTGATAAATGAATAAACATCATAAAAAACATTTACGTGTTTGTTCCTTGTATCAAACTTTGTATTTATATTAGGTTTCCATCGCTGGATGACGGCTAATAGATAAGAACGAAACGATAAAACGCAGCAAAAGAAAAATTCTTCTGCAATCTGTTCGTGATCTCTTAGGATATCGAGAAGTCTCGGCTGCATATTTCGTTCAGTACTACATTCGGTCAGTTCAACAAATCGAAAAATCGTATTTAATGTCCACAATATTTCTTTCAAGTCTAAATACAACACAGATACGTCTGTTTTATAAAGAAATCTACATTTTGATAACAAATCTGCTAAAAAATCGTAATATTTGGAATGTATTGATTCCCGGGAAATGTATTTTCGTTCCATGAAAGTTAAAAAATTATCGCGTCACACTTATGTTACGTCACATCACGTGACTTTATTCGGTGCGGAGAGCTGACGAAAATATTGAAGAAATGTTGTGCCCATTTCAACATCAATATAACAAACAAAACACCACATTTACGTGCAAGTAATATACTCTTTATTTCAAATAAATACTTGGGTTTACGTGGAGCCCGATGTTTTGGTTGGATGGCTAATAGGGAATGAATAATAAGTGATGATTCACCGACATGTTTTTTCCGGAGTAAATCCCCCCTTTTTAGCAGTGGACCTCGTCTGGCCAAGATCTACGACGTCAGGAGTAAATAACTGTGCCAGACGGGTTTGGTTAGGCAGCGATGTGATGACGTCACCCACTTGTTGGCACCAAATTCCGAACTCCCGTGCAGTGATATATCACTGCGGCGGGCAGGTATCTCACCGTAAGCATGGTAACTTCGTAATAAACAACTGACGTGATTGGTTCTAGTCCCATGCTCAGGTCGCGTGATTGTAAAATTCAGACAATTTCATTGGTTGAATTGCGCGTATTAACTAATAAACAACAATTGCGGTAAACTATTATCAACAAAACTTTTACTCAGAATTCCTTCCGCGGTGATTTCTCCTCATATTTCAATAATTTTGAAATATTTTGACAAAATAATGTTTGGGGAACATTCATGAATACATATTTTATAAGTTGTGTGAAAATTGACCACATATGCGATAAAAAAAGGGAACTATTTTCCCCAAATTTTGGGGATTTGCTTCATCTGCCCGCCGGCAGTGTCTATACCGAGACACTGCATTGGAGTTCCACCAAATTCCAATTTCGTACGATTGCAAGCTAAATAACGCCAGGATTACGGTCGCGAGTAAATCTCAGGCACGACATGGAAATCTGAAATTAAAGAGGGCGCAAATCCAAGTGCACTTGTACCGGAAGTCTGTCTAAATATGGCGGGACTACACAAATTCGACCTACTTTTGTACCACGTGATGTGTTTTAGCCAATAGCCGAGGGGCTGCTAGATGTCTGTCAAGTTATAGTATTTATGTCTCAAATAAAAATGCATTATATCTCATCTTATATTGGACTTTTAAGTTACATTATTGAACCCATTAACAGCACACTAAGTGATTTTTCCTGATCCAAAAATTTCTTCTGAGCCCTTGGTGTTCTTAATTCTTAGTGATTAATCTTGATCCTAGGTGATTGTTATTGATCTTAAGTGATAATGTTTTTGATCCTTAGAAATATCCTCATGATCTTGATCTTTGGTATCTGTCTTGATCCTTAGGGATTGGGTCGATCCTAAACAATTTTACAGGTGATTGTTCTTAATCTTAAGTGATTGTTTTTATTACTTTAATTTTTTCTTGACTCTTCTGGGCAATTGTTTGGTTGTGATTCTTAATATTTTGTTTTGATACTGTGATTGTACTCAATTGTTCTAATCTTAGTTGATTGTCCCTGGTTTAGGTGATTGTTCCTGATCATAAGTGATTTACCTTGATCCTTGATATTTTTTCTTTACTAAGCTCGGTCAGTACGTGGTTGATTGTTTTAGAGCATATTAATTGGTCCCTATGTGATTTGTGATCGTGCTGGTCAAATGTGGTTGTACAATGTACAATAGACTATTAAGGTACAGCTGGAAATTTGAAATTGTAAAAAATAAAAAAAAAATTGAAATTGAAATTACCTTTTATTGGTTACAATTGTTGAAAATTTAGATCAATTTAGTATCCCTATGTCACCATATCATCATAATACCTGTTAAAGTGTATGTAATTAGCAGAGGAATCTAATTATCACTAATTAGATGTGAAGAAAACACCAAGTCTATAAGTACATATAATTTCAAAAATAATATGTATTGACACTAGAAATATAAATATCGCTTACTACACATATCAAAGACCTGAAATAAGTAAAGTTTTGAATTGAAAGTGATTCATAGAAGCCATAAAATTGATCTAAATGTCAACCTTGTAAACTTACCATGTGGCAAAAATACTGTCCACCATATTGGAAAATATGGAACTACTTTTGACCTACTTATAGTTGTTTGTAAACAAAAGCACATGTGTGAACAGTCACAATGCATATATAGTGTGTTCATTGCAGTAATAAACTGCACAGGTGATTCTTTTCAACAGTAGATAAAAAAAGCTACTTCCCAGAGTGATACAGTTATAAAGTATTATAAAGTACATGTACTGTCATCATAGCATGAAGTATAATAGTGAGAAATGAAGGTTCATAATATATACTTACAGTAAAGTATTTCTGTTTTCAAATATCTGTAGATCACTATACAGCAAATTCAATGATTTCAGTATCTCAGTATTCTCATGAAAAATGGTACTTCCTTTTTATCAATGTCCATCCAATTTTTTCAGTCTGTCAGTAGCACTTTGATATCTTTATTTCCTGTAGACAGGAAATGCCTCAATGTCCATACCAATATTTATGCAGTAAGTGAAATGTTTTATTTCTATTTATTAAGTCATCCAGAGTCAATCTCTCCCTATATATTTACTCAAAATTCATCTTATCATTTTAGAAGCACTTTGGTATCCTAATCTCCTGTAGGATTAATGTCTGCTAATATTTACAAAGGTTGTCTCTGTTAATCCAATGTATCATAGCTCCTTGGTTTCAGAATTAATCTCTATTTATTTTTAGAAGCACTTTGGTATCCTTATCTCCTGTAGAGTTAAAAGTCTGCTAATATTTCCAGATACTGTACATGCCAATCCAATGTTTAATGTTATTTGTCATATACAATGAATTTCCTTTTATATTCCTGTTTAGGGTGACATTTATAATATTGTCAAAGTATTTGATTTGAAGTCTTCCATCAGTTCTGAGTAAGATAAGATAACTTCTTCTGAGTCAGAATCAGATATATCATCCTGGTTATCATATATCAATGCATAAGAAGCGGTCTCTGTTCCATCAGTTCCAGAAAGAAGCCTGGTTACTTTGCCTGAAAACATATAAGGAAAATCTTGGAATGTATGTGTTCTATACATAATTCACATTAAACGTCATTGCAATATTATATTTGTAATCTTCTAGTACCAGGTAGGGAGGATTGTAAAAATTATTGCACGTATACAACATTGTCATTCTGGAATACAAGTATGCAATACAAACTGAAAGGGGGTGGGATTGAAATTGCATTCAATTCACTTTTACTCTTTAACACTACATGTACTAGAAAAAAATGTTTTTAAAATAATCTATGAAGCCAAACATCAACTGGATGACTCTCCATCACTATGCTTTGAAAAGGGAGACATTTGTACATACCACTGTAAACTGTGTCAGTACCATTACTTTCAGTCCAAGTGTGAGAAATGTGCTTTCCAAGAAACAAAACATTACTGTTCACATCATTCCTACAAAAGACATGACATATTGTCATAACATTTAAAAAATAACACCTATTTTTTAAGTAATGTAATAGACAAATTTAAGAGATAATGATGTAAGAATGAAGCTTGAAAAGGATGCATCAAGATACAACTAGGTATGAGATACAAAATGTAACCACCTGCCAATTGTTAAAGACAAACCATCAAAACAATAAACACCAAACAACATCGACAATGAAGTTGGAGACAACAATATGTTGCCAATCGTGCTTGTGACATAAATGCTACATTTTCTGTGTTTTCTGGGGTATCAAATATCACAACTTTATCTCTGTACAATTTGAAAGGGGGAAACAACAGATGAGCATTCATGATCTTATGTTAACATGTATGTGTAGTCCAAGTTTGTCAAAGTTTGTTATATTCGTACTGGTGCATAATAACAATTTTTAAGTGACATTTATCCAACTTTACCTAAGAGCAGAGATGACTTTGTCAGCCATGGGTTCAATGTCAGATGTGTGTTCAGTCATCCATTCTTCACCTAGACTATTAAACAGAGGTGTCTTTATTTAAAAATGGGTGTCACTAGACATTCTATGGAAATATATATGGAAATATACATATGGAAATTGCATGAAATTTGAGATGGTCACTTGGCTTATTTTGAGGTCCACTTCTTTTAATGAACAGGACAAAGTGAATGAAATGTTAGAAGTCCTGAGTACATGAATTGTATGCAGTAATATACTCACACTTTCTTTCTACACTTTCTTGCACTACGCCTGGAAGCTACATTTGATTCTGATGAAGTACTGGGTTGAGGTACTTGGGGCTCATTGTGACCTCTGTAAATAATGTTTATGCTAAAGGTTGCAAGACAGTGTTTTTCACTCCTTTTCATAGATTTAATAGGGCATGTTTCAATCTTACTTTTGCTTGCTTTTAAATAACAAAAAATGTGAGTTTCAATAATAAAATGATTTTGCATCATCATTGCCCTTGATCATTTATTGGAAATAATTACCTCTGATCAGGGTTTTTCCGTTTTCTTCTTACACTTAGATGTTGAGTTATGTCTTGAGCTGAGATGGACCTTTTTGTACGCTTGCTTGAACTGAATTCATCCCACTGAAAAAGAAAAGAATATATTAATACAAGCAATATCATTGTGTCATGGCTAGTTTTGTTACTTGGCAGAATTGTATGTATTCATTTTAAATGATTACTATGTGTAGGATGTTGACAATTATTTGTAATAACAAAATAAATTTTCATTAGAAACAAAGGACCTTAGTTATAAGAAATGTTTAAATCAAGACATAATGTCATTATTCAAGTTGTCACAATCATGAATATAGGCACATTACATGAACTGAAAATAAAGTCCAGTGACAGTAATACTTGTCATGCTTGCCTAGCTAATTTCTATTTGCCTCATCGAATCGGGGAATGGCCCTGATATTTGCAGAAGCTCATAGAAAATACATGAGCAGGTTATTCAGTGCAATACATACATTGTACAGTTATATAGTGTAAAATGCATTCCTAAATCTAATACATTTACATAAAGTTGGTTACGGTCATTATATATATTATACTATGCATAGTATTTAATGGTTTATTCCATAATGTTATGGCTAGCTTGGATGCAGCCCAAAGCATCCACTGGACCTGAAAATGAAATGTTAAAATTAAATAGTGCACCTTAATTGTATACATAAAAAATAATTTCCATACAAAAGGAATATGAATGTTTTAGTACATTAAATCTATGAAAGTTGAATGTTGAAGCTGATGTTTAAGTTGGGAAAACTGACAAGTCTTACAAAAGTTAATTTTACACTAAATATATTTAAGTATAACATAATCTGCTCCATTATTGGCATTTTTGGAAGTGTTCCACTTTCAGCATTGATCCACTTTTCAGTTTTTACAGTATCATGGTGAACAATAATATGACAGACAACCTAAAAGTACCTAAACAACATAATGTAGGCATACAAACATATATTAACTATGTATGAGGTGAATGTATTAGACATTGAAAGATCAATGTGTGTGGCACATCACAGTCAGATGAATTACCCATCCAGTTGTTGGCTCCCATATGCCAGGGTGTTTCTGGTGGCGTGGAACTGCTAGTTCCCGAAGTAATGCATCAAAGTAAAACTTCCGTAGTCTTGGTAGCATAAAGGAGGTGAACATGTTGTCATCTCTTTGTATCCTTTGTATGACAATGTCATTTGGGTCATCACTACCAACAACAAGGTCAACCCAGTCAAGGTCGTAGCACTGAATTTGACCATGTATCTGGAAGAAGAACTTGTGGTTCTTCTTCAGTTGGAGTTTGCCATTGACAAATGTCAAGCAGAACGAGATGTTCTTAGCAGCCTCTCGCAGGGATGTTGATTTGCCATGCAACACCTTCTTACACTCGACACCATTCCTCCTGTCCTTGTGAGCTAGGGGATCAACATTGATCCCATCACAAGAGGCACATAGGAAATGATGTTCCCTGTGCACCTTGACCCCACACTTCCTCACAATGACAGGGTCAGCTTGCTCCTTCATGTGTTTCTCATAGTGTCTTATAAGTAAGCCCTCTGACATCAATCCATCCTTTGTAGAGGAGTTTCCAGTAAAAGGAGTGTACAGCTTGTTAGTAATGAAAGGGGTGACTGGTGTTGTGCTCCTCCTATTGATGATCATTCCAAACGTGGATGCGGATAGCCGAATCCTTCTCGCTGAAAACCAATCTGGAGATCCAGATTGATGGATGGTGTCCTTTTCCAATTGCACACAGCCAGCTGGACTCATAACAACATTGTCTAAATGAAACATTGATAAATATTAATAAATATTAATATGATTCCTGTAAAAAAATGAAGTGAATTTTCATTAGGATAAAACAAAGTAGCAAACAAAAAAGAAACAAGATATGTGACAATAACAAGCTGAAAAGTCTCATTACATGTTCATATTCTATCAAATAACTTATTAAACTCATTCTGAGTAATATCAAACACTGGGAAATGCCGAGACATTTATGCTACCTTTGTAAAACTTATTTTTCATTTCCTGGACTGTTTCTTCGGAGAAAACTGGTTCAACTTGAACCGCATTTGGGCCATATTGAGTTTCCCCTTTGGTCTTACTACCCCTCCTCTGTTTTGCCTTGTACCTGGCACTCTGGCATTTAGCAGATCTGGTGCGCTCATTTTCTAGGATGCGCTTGCGTACCTGTTTCAATAATGACAAAATCTAAAATTCTATATTAATTAATGCTTTCTACCTGGAAAGAAACATATGGGATGACGTAAGTAATATCTTCATCTTTACCTTTCTATGATATTGTCAAATATCATGAACCGATAACAATCCTAAACAGATACTGAATTACTATATAATAATAATTAATTCATGAAAAGAGTATGTAACTAGAAATCAGCAACTGCACTGAGTAGCAAATCCTTTAGAACCAATGCTATTATTGATGAATATTTATATGTCACAATGTAATATTTTCTATGTACTCTTCGCTTATATTCCATGGTAGTGTTACCTTACTTTAAAGAGATCGTTAAGTAATAGTAAATTCCTGCTCCAGACAGCCATTTTTATTTATCTGCCATCCAAATCAGAAAAACAATACCATTATTGTGATCAACAATAAAATACATTCAATCTGAGTATAATATAGAAATACTTTGACGAGATCAGAAAATTACTGCGGTATCCCACGTTAGGTGGCTATTTCAAAATGACTGATGCCTGAATCAGAAGAACGATACAAAATTTGAAATCGCAGACGGCCGAACAGACAGACAGCTTCACTAGATCCCTAAAGATTTTTGTTTGTTGGGGATAATAACCTGTGTATTTCCATATTTCAAAAATATGTCTGAGGCAGGATTGGAGGTGATCTTGGTATAACATCTGGCTGCCCAATCCGGCCCCATACTGGATCTAAGCATCGCAGCAAAAATCCTGGTTATCCAAGCTCCCCTGTGACATTTGTGGATGCGTTTTCCTCCATCAAATTTGCATCGTAAACTCATCCAGCCTTCGCACAAATTTGTATTGAAGTTGCCAATAAGTTTAAATGCCTGTATATGTAAAAACATACAGTAATATAATGAAGTTATCAAAAACAATACGCAAGATCGCATGGTCTTTGTAACCTAAAGATTCAAAGGTCATTGTATGAAAATTACATACCAGTAGTTAATATATATATACAGCATATATCTGAACAACTGGCCAATCCGAACACCTCCCAATCTGAAAACTTTTATTGGTCCCATTTTTTCCTCCCATTGACTCCCACGTAAAAAATTTGAAAGTGTGAACACCTCTCAATTTGAACAGTGAACAGTCATGTTTGAACAATTAACCTGTCTAATCTGAACACCGTTCATAAAATTTCACATGTTACAAAAATTGCTGAAAACTTGAATGGTTTTGATTATAATAGGGCTTTCCAGCATCACTAAATTCATTTGAATCGAATTTTCAAATTTATGAAATACTGCGAAGCTATGTGGTCAAATGAACTATAAATATTTCTTCAGAATCCATAATCCAGAGAATGCAAAAACCTAGAAATGTGAACACTTCCTAATCTGAACGCCTTAAGGCAGTCCCAATAGCTTTTAGATTAGACAGCTTCTACTGTACTGTACTTGTAATTAATTTTGTACTTCTTTATTTTGTACATTTGCTGTTTGAAACATTTAAAGGCTACTTAATTCTGCAGACTCGCAATATTACAATACACATGGTACTAAAATAAATGGTGAATTTAGCATCTACTTAATCTGGGGGATTTTCCAATTTGTAAGATCTGCCAAATTATGTTCATTTCATAATCAATCCAAAAAAGTGTATGATTTTTTGAAAATTAAGCTTCAAACATTTTAATCCCTCATATTCCACTATGGGAGGAAAGATGGTATATTAATTTTAAAAAACAAAGATCCATCTAAAATTTCAAGTCAGTCCAAATGTACCGGATTTTCTCGCATATACGCCCCCCTAAACTTAGGCCAATGGGACAAAAATCGAATGTAGTACACTTATACGCCCATGGGCCTATAAAAAATGACTATTTATTGATTTTTTTCAATAAATTCAAGGGTATTTTGTCACTGGCAGATCATTCTATCGTTACTTTGTTTCAACATTAAGTTCAACGCTGTGCCGCAAGTGGCAGTGGTGGATCGTTCTGTTGTTACTTTGTTTCAACATTTAAAGTCCAAGGTTGTAGGTGACATTTCCTTTATAATTCTTACAAAACATGCGGTAGGACTACAACACTAGGTACGGTAGTCTTTGAGGAAGATCAGCTCTTCTCACCTTTACGCCCACTGGGCCAAAAATCGAAAGTAGTACACTTATACGCCCATGGGAGAAAAATAAGAGGTAAAATAACAGACGAAATTACCCCTTCTTTCAGTTATACGCCCAGGGCATATATACGAGAAAATCCGGTAATGGATTCTTGGAACAAAGGAAAATTTTACAATTAATCTATCAGCTACTAATAAACTGCTTCAATAACCTGCCATAATAAAATATGAAAGCATATTAAAGAATTAAAATAAAATAAAGGAAAACAAGACATAAGCATGCAGAATGTCACCTGCCATTTGTTACAGATACCAAACTCTAACCGCTAACTGCCAATCACCATCCACAAAAATTGTGCCATGTCTATTCATTATATCATTTTAACTTACTTTATTGGCAGTTATATTTAGTATTGAATGAAGATGAGCCAATAATGTCTCGTCAATTGGTGTTTTATCTGAGGCTATGCTTCTAGAAGCTTCTTCTTCTTCAATTGACATTCCTTGTGTCCAATAAGCCACCTCTTGCTCAATACAATTTTGGACAAGTGCAACACCATCCATGTCTTCCTCATCCTGAACTTCCTCTCCTACTAACAGGGGATCGCATGAATCATCATCAGCTGAAATTAAACCGTACTATACATGTGCTAATATCATGTATACTGCATCTATCTCGGTAGTAGAACTTACTGGTGAATACTTTAAAAATAAAAACTACACATACAGGGTGGTCCAAAAAAATGGAAACCCTTATGGCATTTTCCTCATATCTTTGTCATTTAAAAAAATAACTCCCTGATATTTTCCACAAGTGTACATCATTGCATTTCCTACCAGCTATATTTCATGACCATCAGATTGATAGTCACAATGTTACAGCACTTTAGGGAACATGCCTCGGTGGCCACTTTTGGGCTTTCAGCAAACCTGCACTCATAGTCCAAAATGTGACTACCTGTAGGTATACGCGAAGATAGAGTGTATGAGAATGACCTCAAGGCAATAGCAGACCTCAAAAGTGAGATCATTCGTGTCATTCAGGCCATACCTGCCGAGGAATAGATTTAGGTCATTGACAACTGTGCAGCTTTGACTTAATTGCTATAATGCCCAAACATGAATCATGTTGTTCAAAGTGCTGTAAAATTTTTACTATCAGTCTGATGGTCATGAAATATGCTAGGGTGGTAGGAAAGTGAAAAATGTACAAATGTGTGAAATATCAGGGAGAAATTTTTAAAAATAACTAAGATATGAGGAACATGCAGGGTTTCCATTATTTCCCACCCTGTACTTGATGCAATTATGTATATTTCTCCTTACATTTTTTGGATTTGCACCAGACCGAATCACACAAACTGTGGTGTCCAAAAACGTGGCGGGCGACATTTATTATGTCTCTGCGTAATAATTCAGTGATATACCCTTTCTTCTCAGGCGTTTCCTCTAGTTGTTTTGTGCGCATTCTAATCGCACATCTTACTGAGCTCACCATTTTAATTCGTTTTTCAAGAGTTAGTATTTGTTTAAACTTTGGATTCTCCTTTACAAAAGTTTCAAGCCTGGTTCTGACATTTTTGGTAGCATGATTAGAACATTCGACTTTTTGCATTCTTTCACACCATTTTGGGCCATATTTGAGCAAAGTTGCTTCACAGCTACTATCGCCATCTCCAAGGAGTTTCAAATATCTAATGCCGTACTTTTCTTCACATTCACTAAAGGCCTGCAGACAAATATCTGCTTCCATAGCCTGACTTGACTGGGTCCAATTTTTAAAGCATGTATGCTGAAATAATTATGAGGTGTGAAATAATCCATGTTTAATATTTTTTAATACATATTGCCATGTTAAGATGAAATGTTTATAGTGGAAATAATAGAAAACAAAAACGCATCTGAGTAGCAAATATAGATTTTAATATGATTTTATTCAGTTTATTTGGCATTTTTGATTTGCAAATTCAAAATCTGAAAATATCTGAAAAGTGATAGGCCGTCCAACTATCCCGAAATTCACGTCTGTGAGACATTTGCTGAAGAAATTGAAGTCACATCCATTTTTCACATTTTTCTGATTATTGTCAAGCAAAAATATTTCAGGAGAACATAAAAAAATGTATGCCAAAAAAAATAAATGTGAGGTGTTCAAAATGGGTGTGATTTGACTGTAATTTAATAGCACACACCAACAAAGGTGTTCAGATTTGGACCAAGGTGTCCACAATTTGAAGGAAGGTGTTCAACATTTGTTAGTCACTCATTTTTGGTGTTCCAGGTTGACAGGCCTGAAGACAAGGCAAATGCATATGAAAAATATTCTATTCTATGGACTACTTCACACCTTTGGGATTGGTTGCTCCAGGTTTGTGTATTTTGTACACATGTAGCAGTCTTTTATTCTTATTCCTACAAAGAGGGGCTTTTTGGTTCTAACACCAAATACAACTCCTACACCACCCTTAGCGGTGTAACTATGCTTATGGGCAGTTTTACACCATCCAGCATCAAAAGCCACAGGAACAATGGGGATTCCTTCATCAAAGTCAACTGAAATAGAAAACCCTTTGATTTGAAGAGAATCTTAAAATGCACAATACTATAATTTGTTATGAACCATACTTTATAAAATACTGATCATTGTGAACTAAATCAAATTCTTGGTATTTGTGTTATCATATTTCTTTAAATTATCAAACATTTCATAAAAAATGCTGGCCATTTTGAATTCCGAGATTTAGATGAAAACACAAGCAAAATGCATGAAAAAAGCTCCCCAGATTCATTCTACAAACAACTCACGGTCCTTCACAAATTATTAAAATTGAAAGATCAATTCAATCACCTGCCAGTTTTTTCTCCTCTTTAGCATTTAGCATTAGTTCTTCTTGGGTTATATTTTTCAAGGACTGTCCTATTTCAGATTCGATTTTTGCATACGTTTTGAAACTTATGGTCCCAATGCCCATGGCGGCAAATGTTTCATTGAAACTTGACTCCCCACTACCAGTAAGAATGCTGGCGAAAACTGCACGAAAGTTGATATCATGAGTCTTGTCTTTTTTTTTACTTGTTCTGAAGGAAAAGGTCTTGAAGCATCCATTACAGCATATTCTTATTGTTTTCACAAGTCCACAGTACTTTTTCTCGGAAATAGCAAATAAATTGGAGGTCACCTGATGGATTTTCTCACAAGATAATGCGTGAGTGGCAATAGTGTTTATAATGTTGTCGAATATGGTATTATCTATAATCCTATAGCCAGCTTTTGTCTCCTTGTTTTCAATTTTTATTGTAACTTTTGGAATTTTGGGCAACTTATCTGTAATGTTTTCACTGGGTGTAATATGAGCCTTGTACTGCTGGTACTGAGATTTTTTAATTCGAAGAACAATGTTGGGGGATTCTCTTGACATTTTACGTCTATTAAAAGGTTTGAAACGAGGCATATTTGCAGTTGAACTTACGATGAATTTTGAATTTTACTTTTAGATTTTTTTAAAAATGGCCGAATGACCTAGAAAAGAAATCAACAAATTATTACATGGATTAGTGAAGCAATGCGATGGCGATCGTCGGTATCTTCCCTGGAAAATGAAAAATGGGGTAGTAAGGTTGAATAAGACATGCACATTGTGACAAAATAAAGTATCTTACCTTGGAAACGAGTGATTTTCTTTAGCTTTTTTCAGAGATCCCATAGTAGCAACCGATTCGCCACTTCCGCCGGAAAACACATGTTCCCTGAAAATAGTTACAATATTAACCAAACGACTTTATATATGATAATTATTCTGTAATTATATCCCTTTCTATGTACAGAAGTGGAAAAATATGCTTAAGCATCCATATCTGTTTTCGATAAGACAAATTCAACAGAATAAATTTCGCGCAATGATATAACATTTGACCTACAAAATGGCGATTTCGGGAGATATTGTTTATATCGTATACATTACATTTTTATGCCCGATCTGTGAAGGCGATTGCCGATCTTAAGGTATGTAAATATAGCTCATGATATTTACAAATGAAATAACAACATTTGGTGTGTGATTTATATTCACATATTGGTGGATCGGCTACATGAAAAGTTATTATGTATTTTTTTTAAATTTAGCATTGTGGGTGATAATTGACACTTTTTTAAAACCTATTTTTCTCGAGGTTTGATCCAACATTCATATCAAACATCACTTATCTATTGTCTATTGTATACAAAATACTGATTTATGCATTTATGTCATGATTGCAATCTTAAAACCACATGTGATATGTACCTCAAAAATGTATTTTTATCCTTCACATTACACTTCATTATCATGTCCACGTGAGGATAATGTTTTTTGGGGCCATTTGAATCATAAAGACTGGATATCAGAGGTAATTTTGGTACCACATTCATTATATCTCTTAGATATGATTTTGTTGAAAATGCACTGTTTTAGAAGGGGTATAATTTTGGGTATTTTTCATTTTCACTGGGAAACCTCGCCTTAATATACTAGTATTGTCCAAAATTTCCCGGGAAATCTCATTTCATTTCGCCGTGTGTAAAATGAATATGCGCCCTCTATAATTTCAGATTTCCATGTCGTGCCTGAGATTTACTCGCGACCCCAGGATTACTCCCAAACATAAAATATACATGAATATAAATTACCGAGACATGAAATATAACAACAATTATGCACAGACTGACATAATAAAGATGCTTTAATGAGTTGAAGTTATCCTCCTGAATTTTTAATTCCAAAATTGCCTAGCGTAGACAATTCTCAACTTGAACTCCATATATCTCGAAAAATATAAGCTAATTCTAGTCCAAAGCTACTCAATCAATACTTGAGATCGTTATTTATACTAATCTATTGAAACTGGATAGAAAGAAAGACAAACTAACCTGTATTGCAAGGTATGAGCGGCGGTTTCGGTGGTGACGCACTTAAAAACTTTGGTGGGTACTGGATGTCAACTACCCAAACGTGAAACGAAACCACTAATTAAATTAGAAATATACGAAATGACCGGAAGTGGTCAATTTAACACGCTAATTAATTCGCACACACAATTGAGAGACCAAGTAGGAATAAAAATAATTGCTCAAATATGTGTATAATTAGCTAGCTCAACTATAACCGGGGAAATTGCTGTTAAAGTGCTGAAAACCTCCAAATACTGGGACCATAAAATCATGTTGAGAAAAAAATTATTACACTGAATGAGATTTCATGAATTTAATTTTCAAAAAATGTCTTTTATCTGCGGCCAAGGTTAGAAAATAACAGAAGCACAAAAATGTTGTAAAAGAGTACAATTGAAAAATCGAGCATATCATATGGTATCAAAACAACATTTCTTCAGGCTAGTGTGCTCGAGATTACT